ACGGAAGAGGCACCTTGCAATAAAAACAAACAAAAAGCTGGACCACGAGAAACAAACAAACAAAGGAACGAACGAACGACCCACAATCAAAACCAAAAACTACTCTTTCAGAGCTCAAAACGCTCACCTTGAGAATCTCCACTAGGGGAGGAAGGCTCGCCACTCGCCTCAACCACCCTGCCACCCCCTCTCCTCCCTCCGCTTCCACCCTACTTCCAGGCCCCCCTCCCACCGTCACTCCTGAAACATTCCCATAAAAGCCCGCGCCAACCCCTCCCCCTGCTCCCACCCCCGCCCCCCCTCCTGCCCCTGCGCCTCCTGCAGCGGCGACAGCAGCAGCAGCGGGTCCTGATTTCCCCAGTGCACGCGGTGCAGCGGCAGCAGGGACAGGCAAGGCCATTCGTGCTGCCGCTGCTGCTGCTGCTGCTGCTGCTGCTGCTGCTGCTGCTGCTGCTGCTGCTGCTGCTGCTGCTGCTGCTGCTGCCGTTGCTGCTGCTGCTGCTGCCTTCTTGCCGTCTCTTTCCCCCGCAGAAGCCATAAGAGACGGGGGGGCAGCGGCAGGGGCGGCAGCGGCGGCAGCAGCAGTGGTGGTTAAGGGGAGGGCGGGTGGGCGGATAAAGTCGAGCACTGGGGGGCCTTCCACCCATATGATGTCTTCTTTTGGGATCTGAGGGGGCGAGAGTGAGAGGGAGGTGAGAGAGAGCAGGGAAGAGGAGAAGGGAGGGCGGGTGGGCGGATGAAGTCGAGCACTGGGGGGCCCTCCACCCATATGATGTCCTCCTTTGGGATCTGAGGGGGGGAGAGGAGGTGCAAAGCAGGGGGGAAGAGGAGGTGCAAAGCAGGGGGGGAGAGGGGGGTAGGGGTGCAGTGCAGTTGAGTCGAGCACAGGGGGCCCTCCACCCCTATGATGACTTCTTTTGGGATCTGGAAACGGGGGGGTGGGGAGAGAGAGGAAGAGGAGAAGGTGAGAGATAGAACAAAAGCGGAACAGGGAGCGCGGGTGGGCGGATAAATCGAGCACCGGGGGTCCCTCCACCGGGGGTCCCTACCAGCTTTTCTAGAGAGAGCTCTGACAAACACCTTGTGACTCACAACCGCACCCAACCCAAGCCAACCGCACCCAACTCACCATATTGAGGTCAACCCATTGAATGCTCTCATTAGGTGTGTTGAGTTCGTACACCAGCGAGTACATCCCATCCTCTGGCCTCACGTCTGTTATCACCGCCTCACAGAACCGCGACCCGCCCCCCTCCTCCCATCAGCACAGCAGAAGCTCTCACCAGGTTAAGGTCGACCCATTCAAAGCTCTCATTGGGAGTGTTGAGCTCGTACACTAACGAGTACAGCCCATCCTCCGGCCTCACATCTGTGATCACCGCCTCATAGAACCGCGACCCGCCTCCCTCCTCCACCCACCGCGTCTTCACCCGCCGGCCTATGAGCGGGTCTATGGCTATCCCCCCCAGTGCCCCTGGTGCTGCTGCCCCCGCCACTCCTCCCGCCCCTGCCCCCCGCCCTGCTCCCCCTGGCGCACCCGCGGACTGACGGGGCGGAGGGGGAAGGGGGGGTCAATGGGGAATGACGGGGGGGGAAGGGGGAGGAAGGTTGATGAAGGAAGGGGGGATGGTGGCGGGGGAAGGAGGAGTGATGGAGCGAGAAGGGAGAGAGATGGAAGGGGGGGAGGGGGGGGGGGAAGGGGACAGACAGCAGGGGAAGGGGAAGAAAGTTTGAGGGAAAAAGTGGAGTGGAAGATGAGAAAGAGTGGGGAGATGGATATGATGGGTGGATGTGTGTGTCGCCGTTGGCAATGCAGTTATCATGGCCCCCATACACATCGCCCCACTCACTCCCCTCGTCCCCGTCGGCCTTTCCCCTTTCCCCCCTCTCCGCCCCAACCCCAGCCTCCACAGGTGCGTTCACTTGCTCACACACCCACTCACCCATCGTCCGCGGCGGTCCTTCCCCTTCCCCCCTCTCCGCCCCGACCCAACAGCCTCCACAGGTGCCACTGCAAACGGGGCGCCCACCCCCGCCCCCACGCCCCCAACTCCCCCCACCGCCCCCACGCCCTTCCCCAAAGGCGCGGCAGAAAGGGCGGCCATTTTTGGCCGTTTGCGGGAGGAGGCTGGGGGGATGAGCTCGGGGGCGGGCGCAACTGGGGGAGGCGCGGGCGCGGGGGGAGGGGGAGGCGGGTGGTGCACATATGCCCCCGCATCCCTTGCTGTCTTCCAATTGCTGCGGGGATGGGGGGATGGGGGGACGGGGGGGAAGGGGAGAAGAGGGGATGGGGGGAACGGGGGGGGGGGGAGTGGGGAAGAGGGGATGGGGGAACGGGGGAGGAGTGGAGAGGGGATGCTTGAGAAGCGGGGGGAAGTTGGGAAGAGGGGATGGGTGGGAAGGGGGTAGGGGAAGGGAAGAAGGGACGGGACGGGAGAGGGGTACGGGGGAAAGAGGGGGCGGGGAGTGAGAGGGGGTTTGGAGGAAAGGGGCGGAAGGTGGGGGAGAGGTGGTGGGGTGTGTTGTGTGTTCATGTGAAGGGAAACACGAATATGGGAGGTATGATGCTGGAAGCGAGAGGATATAACAGTAGTACCAGCCAAATAGGAGGGCGTGACAGTGCATGACAGGGCGTGACAGTGCATGACAGTGGGTGTACCAACTCTTGCAACCCTGAATGTGCCTTTTAAGGTGCCTTAGATAACCAACCTACAAACAAAGAAGCAAAGCCAACCCAGCCACCCCACCACCCCAACCACCCCACCAACCCACCAACCCACCACCCTTTCAACCCACCAGATGAGGCGGATGTTTTTGTCGTCATGCACGCGCGCCAGCAGCAGGCGATGCACGTCGTCTGAGATGTTGAGCTCCTTGCGCAGATCCGACATCAGCCGCTCCTTGTCCTGCCGTGCCATGCCATGCAATGCCATGCCATGCCATGCCATGCCATGCCACGCCATGCCACGCCATGCCATGTCATACCACCATGCCATGCCACCATGTATGCACCAAGGGAAGGCTCAGCTCGTGCAGAGGAGCGGTGCAGCGAGTGGAAGATGTGTGTATGTAATGGCATGCACGCGCCTACCCTCGTAATCGCATCTATTAAAGTTACCTACGTGATCGATCTACCCACGTTATCGTCCTACCCACGTGATCGCCCCTATCCACGTGGTCGCCCTACCCACGTGGTCGCCCTACCCACGTGGTCGCCCTACCCAGGTGATCGCAGGGGACTGCGCGCCGAACGCGCGGAGCACGGCGAGATACGACTCGCGCTCCAGCTGCTGCAGCATGGCCTCCCACCCGCCGCCCCCCGCGCTCTCCTCCTCCACGCCCTCCATCCCCGCGAAGCCCCCTCCGCCTGCCCCGATCATCCCCGGGCCCGCGCCCGCCGCCGCCGCTACCGCCGCGGCCGCAGCTGCGGCGGCTGTTGTGGAGAGGTTGGAGCCTCGGACGCTGCTGCCTCGGCCGAGCCTCTTGGGCGGGGATGGGTACGCGTCGTCGTCCGAACCTGCGGAGCAGGCGCGGAAGGCGTCAGGAGGAACGTCGACAGGAGCGATAGGGTTGAAGCCCCGACCGTGGAACGCAGCAACGGCGAACAGAAAGGCGGGAAAGGTTATCCGACAAATATGAATTATGGGAAAGGACCGGCTGAAGGAGAAGAAAGGCGTCAATCATGAAAGGGCAAAGCGCGCGAGAGCAGGAATACGAATTAGGGGGATTACAAGGCTGATGAACAAGAGCGGATCAGGTTGAGGGTGAGGTGACGAGGTACCAGGGACGAGGGTACTACTAACGATTGTTTTGGCAGGTACGAGGGGAAGGTGGGATGGGTAATACGGACCGTCATGCCCTGCGGCCGGCACAGGCTTGCTGGCCCCTCGCTGCTTTGCCTGCATACACCAGCGCGATGCAACACGAACACCGTAGGATAATCGAAAAGAGAAAGGTTGGTTCGTCCGTCGACATAGGCGGGGAGAAAGCAAGGATGGTACAACGTTGAAACGACCACCACGGCAAACTCACCATCCTTATAAGAATGAGCTAGCTAAACTACTTCGGTGTTGGATAAGGGATATGGGAGAGACCTGACCCGTAACCCTAAACTGGCTTCTGCGAACTACTCAACAACAAATATGGGTAACGAGCATTGTCTGCTCCAGCTGTTGTTGATATGGAAAACGGGTCTACAGCGATCGCGGATGAAATCGTACAGACCAAGCAAGTTCGGCGTGCGACGGACGGTTCGGATCGGACGAAACCAAGTTCGGTTCACCTGCCTGCCTGGATTCTCCCTAGCTTCGTGCGGGTCGCGCTATCAGGAATGCTTGATTTCTGCGATCGCGTTTCCCTTCCTTCTCTTTCGCCTGTATGTTGCTGACGAGTCGTCGTCCAACCATAGCCTTCGCGAATTGACAGGCTGTAAACACAGCTTTGCAAAGAGTGGTGGACGACGTTCGACGAAGGTCGCGCACATGCCTTCCTGCGTTTCCTCGCATACACTCCACAGCCCATTTCCCCTCGGTTTTCACGAACTGGTCTGCCGGCAGCCTCGTTCTCGCGCGAGCACCTTCCCCCTCTACCCCCCGCTCCCGGCCTCTACCCCGCCCGCCTTACCCCCTCCAATCACCCACTTCCCCTGTTTCTGCCGTGAGTCCGTGACGTTCGTTATATGTCACCCCAATTTCTTCGCCGGGCTCGGGGAGTTCAGAGTTTCTATTCCTCCTTCTGACCGACCTTTCACATACCTCGTGTCCGTGTCCCTGTTCCAGCTGAATCTAGTGCTGGTCTGCTGCTGCAGCACAGTTTTTCGCAGGCTCCGGTTTCTTTAGCTCTTAGGCTGAGACCCTGAGTGCCGCATGCGTTATGGCCTGACAGCGTCTCTTGCTAGCTTCTCGGGAATGCAAGCGTGGTCGCAACGTCGCTACCGCAATAGCGGCCTTCCGCGCGTCCTGGTCTCATCGAATAGATAGTCAACTCGAACAAGTGAAGCCATGGGCCGGGTTCGAATAGGTCGAATAAGCCATGCTTCCTGCTCCCCGTCGTCCATAACGCCATGCTGTAGAGTTTCCTCTACTCCGACTCGACACAGTCCGACCCTCAACATTCCATCCCGCCAACACCGACATCACCGACCGCACCATCCGCTACCGCTCGTCCTCCTCCTGTTCCCGCTGCTTCTCTCTATCGCCAGTTCACCGTCCTACTGTTCCGCTGCGAAGCCCGCTCCCTCCACCGCGAAACCTCCCCGCGCAGCGCTCTCCGCCCATTCCGCGCTCTCCTCCCATTCCGTGGATTCCGCTCCGGACCCCTTTGGTAATGCCGAGGTGCTCGGCTTTCCCAAGCCTCCCAACCTCATTTCCGACGGCACACCCGCCGCCACCGTACGTCAGCGTCCGGCTGACGATAACGATGACGGAATCCGTCAAGAGCTCCTTTCCGTCAACCCGCCTAAAGCACCCGTTTCTGTAATGACCGTCAGTATCCTAACGGTGCTAATGGCGGCAGCGACAGGCCTCGGGTCGCTGCCGTTTTTCTTCATGGAGATGGAGGAGGAGTGGGCTGGCGTGTGTAACGGCGTGGCTTGCGGCGTGATGATGGCCGCTAGTTTCGACTTAGTCTCCGAGGGAAGGCTGCACGACAGCGGATCAGGCGGCGCATGCGTGGTGGTAGGGATAATCCTAGGCGGGCTGTTTATCGTTCTAAGTCAGAGGGTATTGGAGCAGTTCGGCGACGTTAAAATGATGGATTTAAAAGGCGCATCGGCCAACCGCGTGGTTCTCATCCTCGTTATCATGACCCTCCACTCCTTCGGCGAAGGCTCGGGGGTCGGCGTCTCCTTCGCCGGCCCTCGCGGGCTGTCGCAGGGGCTGCTGGTAACCATCGCCATCGCCGTGCACAACGTTCCCGAAGGCCTCGCGATGACTCTCGTCATGGTCGCGCGCGGCGTGCGACCGCGCAACGCCATGCTCTGGAGCGTCTTCACGAGCCTCCCGCAACCGCTCGTCGCCGTCCCCGCGTTTCTCGGCGCCAACACCTTCACGCAGTTCCTCCCTCTCTGCATGGGCTTCGCCGCGGGGTGCATGATTTGGATTGTCTTTGGCGAGGTTCTTCCGGAGTGCATAAAAGAGGGCGCGAACTCCTCCCACGTCGCCTCCGCCGCGACGCTCTCTGTCGCGTTCATGGAGGCGCTAGGAGCTTTCCTCGAAGGCGCGGACGCGCCTGAGAGCTGGCACCGCTTAGTACCGATTGCCTGGGCGCTGCTTTTCTTCCTGGGGCCGCTCATAGGTTCCGTACTCCCACTACTCCTCTCCCACTCCCTCCCTGCCCCTGTGTCGCCGCCTCTGCTATCCGGGCTGGCGGGAGGGGCGCTGCTCGGTTTGGCGCTGTGGCAGCCGGTGCAGCTGCTGGTAACCGGGCAAATGGAGGTGCTGCCGCTGCTGTCGGTGTTCTACGTTGGCTGTGTGCTGCATTACTTCTGTGCCAGTATGGGGCGGGGTTTGGCGGGTGGGTGTGTGGGCAACGCGCAGCAGAAATTGCAGAGCGGTTTTAGTGACGTTCAGTATACTCACGGGGTGGATCAGTGGGGTGGGGTCGGAGATGAGAAGGAGGTGCTCCGAGCGTGCAAGCCGAGCCTGCAGCTGAGCTACGGGATCCGAGCCTCGGTGCTGGTCTGTGTTGCTGTGTCAGGCCATGCGTTCGCGGAGGGGCTTCTGCTGGGGCAAAAAGCAGCGCCAGGGGGGGACCTAGGAGGAGATTTAGGAGCAAGAGGAACAGGAGGAGGGGGAGTAGTAGAGATTGGGATGCGCATTCTGCTTCCAGCAGCCATTCACGGCGTGCCACGTGGCATTGCTGCAGCAGCCGCTGCACTAGGTTCTTTCTCCATCACTCGTTCCACTCCGGAGCTTCCCCTAGCAGCTGTTCCCCTGGCACTTGCATCTGCGGCTGTAGCGGGCCTGGCTGGGCCTATCGGTGCGGTAGCGTCCTTCTTTTTGCTGCATAGTTTTGGAGCTGGGCTGCTGAACTGGCTTGTGCTGGCCTGTGGCTTGCTGGCCCCTGCAGGGTTAGATCAGCTGCTGCCTGGAGGGTTGTGGGTGGCTGGTGGGAGAGGAGTTGTGGGTGGGAAAGGAGGAGAATGGGGATGGAGTGTTTTGGATAGGAGACGAGTCGCTGTGGGGGTGGTGCTGGGTGTGGTACTTGTGGTCGTGAGCTTCATGGGGAAGATAACGATATGTGCGCATTCGAGTTACTGTAATGCGGCTCCTGTGGCGCTGACATGAGTTGGTCTAGATACATCTGCTAGGTGTACATTGTCTACATGTCCTCGAAATCCATAAATCTGTATGTCAAGAATTGTACATGTTGAGTTGAATGCTATGTGACAACAATTTTAATCTCTCTTTCTGTAAAAGCGACACATTCACTGTCTACTGTAGCCTTCAGATGTCAATTTTTGTTGCCTGATCGCTGATGTCAGGGCATCCATTTCAGCAGGCGACATTCCCTGACATGCCGCCGCGTTTCTGCAACCCCTCGCCTTTCTTCCCTTCTAGTTGAAAATTCTACGCCCATTTCCATCTGGCCTTGGGGGATATGATGCAGGGAGAATTCTGAATGGTGCTTTGATGGTGTAGACCCCGCGCCGCCCTTGCTCCAGGTCTTCGACGTCACAAAGAATTTTGCCATAAAACATTGCTCAATGACTGACAAAACAATGTTAAGGCTATGTCCCTGGGACCAATGCTCGAGGTTTATCATCAGCAATCCATTTCGGCAAGGCAGTGTTGTAGGAGTGCTCATGATGATTGGACAAACATACCCCCGCACGTTCGGCAAGGATTGCCGAAACACACACGGGGCAATCTTCATTCACGATACAGTAAAAACACGCACGTGGCACGAATGGTGCATCTGCCACTAACCGGTTCGGTATAGCGCGGGGTCAAGATGCCAACACAACTATGAAAAAAAACCATTTGTGAAACAAACGCGATGCAGTAAACGAAGGTGATTACCTGCGTTTAGGGTAACACCCTCTAACAGCACCCTCCCAATAAGCGCCATGCCCCACAAGTATAACCTCGACAAGTATAACGCACAGGTAACATTGTTACAAACAAAAATGCATCGTCATGTTTAGGATATACATTCGGAGCGCGCGGTCATACAACACGGTAGCATGCCGCGCTGTGTTTCGCACTGCCACCCCGCGAGCCGCGTTTCCAGGTGGGGTACAGGGATGTTCCTCTCAGGTCAGTCATTTCTTTCCCCCGCCTTGTTCGTGTGGAGGATTTGATGCACGATTTGAACACACAGACAAATTGCACTGAAATCACCAAGGCCTAACACAGCACAAACACAAGCTACCATCTCACCACGTAAGCACCAGCTGCGGAAACAACACGAAGCAAGCTCGGCACCTCAAAAACAGACAGCAGCAGTGGAGTACAATTGAAACCAGGGAACATCGCAACGTGCGGGATGTCGCGAGCCCCAGTCGAACACCTAGCAACACAACCCACGTCCAAAGCCACGCATCCTCCTAGGTATCGGGCTCGTCATTGTCGCCATCCTCTGCGTCCGCGGGGGCCGGAAACGGGTGAAGGGGTGGAGCCAGCGGAGAAATGTCCTCCAGCCCGTCCTCGGAGATAATGACAGAGCTGCCCTGGCGAAATGCCCATGCACGGGCATTAGGGTCCCACCACGGCCCAGCAGCCGCAGTGCTCGCCATAATGCTCCGACGGGCCCACTCGACCACGCGATCGTGGTACCAGCGCACCGCCTCCTCGTTCCGCGGCGCCGACCGTGGCATCTGTGTGCCGTTGATCAGCGGATACTCCACCTGCATACGCCTCCCATACATGCGTCAGCGTGCATGACTTAAGAAACGCCCAAAACCCCAACAATGCCAAGCTCACCACCGTGATACCACTCACCCCGTAAAGCCAGAAGGCTATGACATAGGTCCGCAGGACGAGAGGGGGAGGGCTGGCGCGGCGGAAAGACTTGTAGATACCCCTCTCAAATGAGTCGGCAGCGAAGGGTAGGCCGTTGTGAACATGCCATGCGAGCAGCTGAAACGTGCCAGGCCCTGCGGAGTTGGGGTTGAGCAACAAGAGAGCACTCGGAGGTTAGGGATGGATCCTATACAACCATCAGATACCCAAAAACGCTAGATGCTTGCAGCTGCGTACGTCACGTAGTAGTTACTACCTGCGCGATGACGGCCTACGAAGTCCTGGCGGGAGACTTGTGGGACCCCGTTAGCAGCCATGTCCGCAGGCACCGCCACCCGAGAGAAGGCCGGGGGTTCATAGGGCAACCCGTTGAGTACGTAGACATACGCCCTTCCCTGCTCCCAGCGAGTGTTACGAAACACCTGCATCTTGCGAATGAACCACCCCGACCGAGACGCGTCGTTGGTCCACACTAGGTGAAGCTGTTGACGCTGTGCCCTTGTGCGGAGCCGAAGAGCACGAGCCATCGTGGCCTCGATGAGTAGCGGGGACGGCCAGAATGACATGCGCCCAACACGCGTGGCGTACACGAGCAGCACAATCCCCTCCCCAACTGCGTCCTGAAATTGCGTAAGTAGTAAGAGAAACAGGCTGTCAAGGCTTCGCAAACAACCACGCATCCGCCCAAAAAACAATTGGTGCAACGGACAATATCAGTGTCATTGGTACCTTCAGGCCATTCAAGAGCCCAGGGATGACCTTGTTCGCGATTTCGAGATTGTCCGCCCATATCACCAGCTGTTCGGTAGGAGGGCCATGCCTGCCACGCACGATCGCAGTCTCCCTAGCGAGGGCCTGGGCCACGAATGGTGTGTGCACGCGCTCATGCTGCGGCTCCGCGCCACGTTGGTCGACAGTCGGGTTGCTCTCGCGCTGGCGAGTCGTTGCTGGCGCCCTGTTGCGCTGGCGGGTGGTGGCTGGCGCTGTGTTGCGCTGACCTTGGGTGTCAGCATCCCCTTCCGCGACGTTGTTGGTGGCCGTACGGCGTGCCTCGCGGAGACGGGCGTTGAGCTCGACTATCTCAAGCTCGCGGGCGCGAAGGCGAGCAGCCATTGCCGCGTTCATGGCTGGGGCTGGTGCAGGCGCAGCAGCAGGGACGTTTACGCCCCCAGTCGCGGCCACGGTGGGGCCACGTCCGCCTGGCGCGGTGACGGCGGGAGTCACTGGTGCAGCATGGCTCAGCTCCGTGACTGGGTGCTGCATCGCTCGCGCCGCTGTCGACATGAAACAACAGCACTGTTAGCAAAAGTGAGTAACAACGTCAATACGTCCAGCGTGCATGTTTAGGACCGTGAAACCACTCAAACACGCACCCTCCGCGTCCTCATCGACGAGTTCGGTTGGGGCAACTTCTGACGGCTCGCCAACGTCCTCGTCTTCTTCCTGATTGGCCGCCCACGTCGCGTAACCCGTGGTCGCGGAGTTGGTCATTTCATCGTCAGAGTCATCGCCATCCGTTGCTGCGCGGCCGGTACGTCCATTGTTGGCACGCGAGGCGGCGCCGTAGTAAACCATGTCCCGGTCAAGTGCTCGTTGTCCCGCGTTCAGCCTACCAGTTCGGCGCATCGTGTCGTAAGGCGACCTTGCGGAGTCCATCGTTAGCAAAGCTCAACAATGCCTACGCTTGCCTTCTTGAGTACATTGAATGTTTCCGCCAGGACCCTTCTTATAGGGAGCTTACGAGCACTGTGGTCCCAGGAACACAGTTCGCTACCACTTTCAGAGCGTGGCTTGCGCCTTATCCTTACGCCCTCACCTACAATAATTCCATCACCCCCTGCATGCGTGTGTACACATCACCACTTACCCCCAGTTACGTAGGCGGGTCGTGCGCTGACGCGCTGGCACGAGGGTTGCGTCTTGCCCATTTATCGTGATCCGATGGAACCAGCACCAGCCTATCACGCACGCTCGAACCTTGTGTTGTCAGGATATTTGTGATAAGATTTCCGTGAGCCACGCTGTCATGATGGCCTATGGGCGACGACACACGCATGAACGATCCACGGCACGTGTGTGCGCCAGTTGTCCTTGGGGTCCGGCGCGCAAGGGATCGCTTGCCTTGCTGGGCCTACAGTTAGTAACTATTCCAACGAGCGTGACGCAGTTGACTTTACTTTCGTCATCCGCCCTACTCTTTTCAGAACCATGATGGTGTGTTATACACACTGAGTGTGGCTGTCGTGCCTTTCCATACATTCATTCCGCCCAACAACAATAAGATTGCATTACACCCCGCATATGCTGTCAGGGTTGCGCAAAGTACGCATTTAGGACGACCCTACGGGTGCACATATGGACAGCGCTCGTCGCTGCAGTCCCTGTTCAAGCACCAGTCACGGTCAATTTTGAAGTCGTCATATTCCTGTGAGACGAGCCTGAACACCACCGGCCCATCACAAATTGTCGGCACTTCCCAGGGAAACTTGCAGTAATGCCACTGCACGGTGCAGAGCAAGGATCCCGCCGCCTCACGCGGCGGTATTTCCCACCACGCCATCATGCCTAGCGCGTGCGCAAGCACCCCAGCTCCCATACCATCCGCCCCGCCAATGTGAGAAGCCTGCTGAAACTGGTCAGGTATACGTCCCGGAAGTTTCGCGTGTTTGAAATCCTCACGCGCGTCGGGAGCCCCGACATAGTTGTAGAAACCTCTGTCGAGCTGCATGAGTGGAAATCCGAGCGTGGCATCGGTTCAACAGGAAAGCACATGTCAGGATTCACAAAAGCCAGTCAACTCACATCGTCTTTTACACAAGCGGCTCACGAAGGGTTAAGAATTCCTTAAACACAAGGCCTAACAGAAGCCTTACCACCCATCCTTCAGAATGCGCGAACTCCATGAGGTAATGACGAAAATCCTTCCTTGGCGGCTCGGTGGCAACGATTTCGTCGCCGTTCTTGGCCAGGACGTTGACGCCATGGTACCCTGATGCCGCCAGCTCCACAAACGCCTTAGCACGTTCGCGAACTGATGCAGGGTCCCTGTCATCGTTGAAAACTGCCTCAATGACGCGGATGTCAAGGTATGTGAGGTCAGCATTGTGCTCCAGCCCACGGAACTCTCGCAGATTGTCTTCCGAGATGCGACGCAGCTTCCATGCCGCGGCGCGGCTATTAGTTACCAGGTGCTCAATGCTGTCCGCAATCTTTTTGGGAGTCGGCTGCTCGTCACTGGCCAGCAATCGTGAGTATTCAGCTTGCATCACAACAGCTGCAATGTCGGGGTAGTCGCGCACAAACACGTGAATGTTACCAGGCCTCGTTTTGGCTGTCCTTGTGCGCGGCCACGTCGGGCCCTGGTATCGGCTGTACGGCTCGGTGTTGTCTCGGTCGCGTGCACACCGCCAGCGTCACTTGTGGTTGTTCACGGTTCCCGAAACGAACTGGGACGCGGAGGATGCCATAGCTAAAAGTGAGTGGGTGTATGAGAACTTGCAGAGGACGAATGAGTAGAAAATGCGTTCTTTGCCTTTGCAAAATGCGTTCTTGAGATTGCAAGATTTTACTCGCATGACTCGTTATTGCACTACAAGCTGCTGTGTGTTTAGGCCATGTCCTGCTGTAGAAACAAATAGCACCCACGAAATTTGCAAACTTGGTGTATCTGAAGAAATATCCGTTACACGCTCGGTGAGGTGTCACTACAATCGGAATGATTGTGCGAGTCATATGAAACCCTATACAGGTCAGCGCACGCATTCCATCACATTCGAAGGCGTGTCCAGCGCTGGCTCAACTTAGTATCTAGATTTTTAGTAGGTGCCGGGCAGGAGAACGTGCCAGTCGCATCATCTGGCACAACCAACAGTTTCTACTATACGCCTTCGAATCTTGTGGAGTCTCATCGTCGACTTGACATTGGCTTACCCGACGTGGCGGCATCTTAGCGAGCACCTGATTCGTCACTAATATACCGCCTGACGTGGCTTGGATTACTGCGAGAAGAGGCTCGGGGCAAGGAGTTTATCGTGGCTTAGCCCGCCCTGGAAGGCATCGTCACGCGATAGGCTCGTAAACCGTCTGTTGAACCGTCTGCGGCTAACGGGATAAATATGGCCTCAAAATATGTGCATTTCATCAAACAGAGCATGCAAGGCAAGCTGTTGCGATGCCGCCTGTATCTTACCTTTTTGCCTGTGAATGGTGCCTCGAGCACTTCACGCAACGCACAGCGCTGGTAGCTCACAAGCTGCATAGTCATGAATGCCGTAGGCAACGCAGGCGGTACCTTCGGTTCCTCCGTGCCAACCCCTTCGCTGACATCAATGACTATTTTGCCGAGGCATCTCTGACTGCCGAAGACGAGCCGACATCAGATGCTGAAGATGAGGGAGACATGGAAGAGGTGAGCCCATTCATGTGTAATGTTGTTGTATAGGTTGGGCTTTCACTGCACGCATGTGAGTAGCAGACTTAACCAAGTCCGGCCTTATTCCGTTTCCGTGCAGGGCTCTGAAGGCCAACCCCCCGGCGGTGCAGGCACCAACGAGGAAGTGCAGTCGGAGGATGGGTCTGACTGGGAGAGCGACTTCGACGACGGTGATTCAACTGAGAGCGATGACGACGACAGCGCCGTCGACGAGAACGAGTTCAACACAGCCTTGGAGTTCTTCCGCTTCGTCATCGGATGCAATGGCGGCCAAGGACTCAGCGACGAGGCCACGGCCTGGCTTTTCAAGCTCCTGCGCGACCCCCGCCTGGATCTGGAGGCTATTCGCCGCTGGCGTACCAAACACGCCGTCCTTCAGTACGGACTTCGCGTCATGATGGCGAGGCGGGTGTACAGGCAGGTGGAAGTGCGCATCCCAGGGATCGACCACACATTCGAGCTGATGTGTACCAGCCCTATCGAGGTACGATTTGCAATCAGAGTTAGCACTTGCCTCTGTCCACCCTTCCTTCTGTCAACACTTGCCTCTGTCAACACTTGCCACTGTCCGCCCTTGCCACTGTCCGCCCTTGCCTCTGTCCGCCCTTTCCACTGTCCGCCCTTGCCACTGTCCGCCCTTGCCTCTGTCCGCCCTTTCCACTGTCCGCCCTTGCCTCTGTCCGCCCTTGCCTCTGTCCGCCCTTTCCACTGTCCGCCCTTGCCTCTGTCCGCCCTTGCCTCTGTCCGCCCTTGCCTCTGTCCGTCATTGCCTCAATCCGCCCTTGCCTCATTTCGCCCTTGCCTCACTCCGCCCTTGCCTCATTCCGCCCTTGCCTCATTTCGCCCTTGCCTCATTTCCCCCTTGCCTATGTCCGCCCTTGACACTGTCCGCACTTGCTCCGGCGCAGGGAGTCGTGGAGATATTCGGCCACCGTGACAATGCAGATGGCTTCCAGCTGTTTGCCCGTCCGGTACACTCGGTGGCGGGACGCGTGTACACAAGGCCGGAGACTGGTCTTCTGTGGGAAGCCGCACAGGTACGGGACTGTGTTTCTGGGTTGTACCCCCTCTGTAAGTAGTTTAAGGCGACACTCATCTGGGTTACTCCAAATGGTGTTGGGCTAGATTCACATTCCTGTTTCCCACGTTGCTCAGTTATTGTGTTGATCGGGAACGAAGCTGCCAATGTTGTGTTTGTTGTTGGCAGAACGCCCTGGACGAGATCTATGGCCCGGGCCAGGTGGTGGCACCCATCATACTTTCAAGTGATGCTACGATTCTCAGCGGGAACGAGTGCGTGAAGGTTTGGGCGGTTTACCTAAGCCTCGCCAACATCCACCTCCGTCTCCGTTGGGGTGATTCTGGGAAGATTCTGCTTGCACTACTCCCAATGCCTGTCCATGGAATGACGGCTGAGCAGAAGGTGCAGCTCTTTCAAGCTGCGATGCAGGTGGTCCTCGCTGACCTGATTGCCGCATCACACACGTGAGTGCCAGCAGTTATTGGCCCAGCCAAAGCCGCAGTCCGCCCTTCACTCAGTCTGCCCTTGCCTTATTACGCCCTTGGCTCTTTCCGTCATTGCCTGAATGGGCCCTTGGCTCTGCCCCCCTGGCCTCTTTCCGCCTTTGCCTCTCTTCGCCCTTGCCTCAATACTCCCTTGCTACAGGGGGATTGCGGCCCGCGATCCATGGGGGGTGGACCGGGTCATATGGCCTCTGCTCTTCTCGTACGTAGCGGACTTCCCAGAAACCTGCAAGGTTTCGTGCACTCAGCAGCATGGCAGTCAGATGCCATGCTCCCTGTGCTACGTGGATAGGGGGCAGCTCAGGAACATGACGGCAGCTGCGTCGGAGTCGCGCTCTGTGGACCAGCAATCGTCACTGATTGCCAATCCTCGGCTAGCCAGGACGTACTCCACGCTCTGTGTCGCGGTATGTATCGGCTCGAAGTTGGAGGTTTGCGCCTGTCGTGGCCTGGTTGTTCAGCCCATGCGGTAGGCCAAGTGTGTACGTCGTTTTTGCTCTGTGCATGCAGTCGTTCCTCTGGGAGTGGAACTTCTCCCGTACACTTTGGGGGAACACCTACCTCTCCCGTAGATGCCAGACATCCTACACATCATCTACCTCGGGTTCTGGCTGTACCTTCGCGCTGCACTGCGGGGCCCTGATTCCTTAGTGCGCCACCACCTTAGACAGGTACGTTTGCCCCTAGGCATTTGCTAGCCGGGTGTCCAGCTCGACTGTCCGCACTTGCCTTTGTCCGTCCTTGCTCTGTCCGCCCTTGCCTCTGTCCGCCCTTGCCTCTGTCCGCACTTGCCTCTGTCCGCACTTGCCTCTTCCCATCCTTGCCTCTTCCCGTCCTTGCTCTGTCCGCCCTTGCCTCCTCCCGTCCTTGCTCTGTCCGCCCTTGCCTCTGCCCGTCCTTGCCTCTGTCTGCACTTGCCACTTCCCATCCTTGCCTCTTCCCGTCCTTGCTCTGTCCGCCCTTGCCTCCTCCCGTCCTTGCTACGTCCGCCATTGCTCTGTCCGCCCTTGCATCTGCCCGTCATTGCCTCTGTCCGCACTTGCCTCTTCCCTTTGCCTCGTCCCGTCCTTGCTATGTCCGCCCTTGCCGATGCCCGTCCTTGCCTCTGTACGTCCTTGCTCTGTCCGCCCTTGTCAATAGGCATTTGCCTAATGTGATGCAACCTCACGAGGTCAAACCCACTGCGATTGGTGCCCAAGATGTCTCAGTCGTTGTTTCACTATTGCTTGCTTTCGTTGCTATCAACATCCTTCATATGGTGCAGGCGTCAGAATGCACTACACCCAGGCGCCAGGCAGGCGGGACTGCTAACTCCTGGAGACGCGAGCTACTGGGTCTCTGGTGCCAACTTCACCGCGTCGGAGCATGCCGCTGTCATGATGGTGCGGCCCTACCTTCTAGTGTATGGTCTCTTACGAGTGCCCAATGCACGTGACGGTTGTCAGATGGCCTTTGCTGACTACGCGCTTCCTGTGTGGCAGATTGTACCATTCGTGCTGGAGGGGGAAGTTGCGGTCATCTGTAGCCGCACGATTGTCGCCTTTCTGGACTGGCACGAGACATTCGTGCGGGCTGCGGAGCACACGGATGAGAGTCTGAGTGCGTTCGACACTGCCACTCGCAGGTATGCTGTGTGTGAGCTTTTCCACAAGCGCTGCAGTTATGCCGCGTGCGTTATGCGGGAGTCTAGTCTAATCATTGACACTTATTCCCTTTGTTTCCATGCTTTCAGGATGGTGCAGTTGGTGGAAAGCACCTTTCCACGCGAGCACTCTGGGTGGAACCTTGTGAAGGTGCACCTGCTGCTTCACCTTACTGAGGCGATTCGAAGGGGGGGGCTGCCACGAGAGTACTCCGCGGCGGTGTACGAGAACGCACACATCCGCACCTGCAAGAGGCCGTACCGACGGTCCAACCATCGGGACGTGGGGCGTGTAATTGCGCAGCACAACACCAACGCTGCTCTACTGACCCGTATCCCAACCAACCTCGAGGGCGACCGCCAGTACAACACCGCGATGCGCCGGGTAAGGACGCATGTAAGGCTCCCTAATGTCTGCTGTAATTATGCATGTCGGGTCATTCCGCCTTTGCCCCTGTCCGCCCTTTGCCTCTGTCCCCCCTTGCCTCTGTCCGCCCTTTGCCTCTGTCCGCCCTTTGCCTCTGTCCGCTCTTTGCCTCTGTCCGCTCTTTGCCTCTGTCCGCTCTTTGCCTCTGTCCGCTCTTTGCCTCTGTCCGCCCTTTGCCTCTGTCCGCCCTTTGCCTCTGTCCGCCCTTTGCCTCTGTCCGCCCTTTGCTTCTGTTCGCCCTTTGCCTCTGTCCGCCCTTTGCTTCTGTTTGCCCCTCGCCTCTGTCCGCCCTTTGACTCTGTCCGCACTTGCCCTTTGCCTCTGTCCGCGTGTTTTTTTGTCCGCTCTCGCCATTTGCCTCTGTCCGCCCATCGCCTCTGTCCGCCCTCGCCTCTGTCCGCCCTCGCCTCTGTCCGCCCTCGCCTCTGTCCGCCCTCGCCTCTGTCCGCCCTCGCCTCTGTCCGCCCTCGCCTCTGTCCGCCCTTGCCTCTGTCCGCCCTCGCCTCTGTCCGCCCTTTGCCTCTGTCCGCTCTTTGCCTCTGTCCGCTCTTTGCCTCTGTCCGCCCTTTGCCTCTGTCCGCCCTTTGCCTCTGTCCGCCCTTTGCCTCTGTCCGCCCTTTGCCTCCGTCCGCCCTTTGCCTCTTCAAACCCTTTGCCTCTGTCCGCCCTTTGGTTCTGTTTGCCCCTCGCCTCTGTCCGCCCTTTGCCTCTGTCCGCCCTTTGCCTCTGTCCGCCCTTTGCCTCTGTCCGCCCTTTGCCTCTGTCCGCCCTTTGCCTCCGTCCGCCCTTTGCCTCTTCAAACCCTTTGCCTCTGTCCGCCCTTTGCTTCTGTTTGCCCCTCGCCTCTGTCCGCCCTTTGACTCTGTCCGCACTTGCCCTTTGCCTCTGTCCGCGTGTTGTTTTGTCCGCCCTTTGACTCTGTCCGCCCTTTGCCTCTGTCCGCCCTTGCCGCAGTAAGCGGTATGTCCGAGGGGTGGTGATAGTTTAAAGGATTGTGTGCGGAAAGCTGGTGTTTGGCCCCATCCGCCTGTTTGGCGGGTCCTGAGTTGCTCACCATGCGTTCATTTGCCCCCCGACATGTCATCACATGGCAGGCAATCGCCAGTGGGCTACTCAGAAACATGACATGCGTGTCGGCCCTTGCCTCTGTATTCTATTTTTTTCCATTTGGGTCTTATCGTAGCTTGGAGGGGTCCACTGTGTGGCTAGTAGTTGCTGTATGGCTGTTTTTTACCTTATTTTATTATGTTTGACGTTACGTTTATTGCTGAATCACAGGCACAACACTCTGTTCTTTACTTTTATAGGATGCTACAGTTTAGAGATGTTGACAAGGAAGCTTGCAGAGCGTACACCAACCCCAGCTGGAGACACAATGTGAAAGGGGGTGCATTGGTAGTTGCTACCGTGACAGTGCGCAGGCAATGCCTGGGAGAGAAAAATTGCTTCGGGAGTGCACACAGCTTTCGAAGCCATGCCCCAGTGCGCATGGCTGATGGATACGCCGGATGTTGACAGGTTTTGGGCGTCCCGTTTTTCGTCTCGAGACGCTTCGCTGACCCCTTTCCGCCGCCAGAACAGCAGCATGGCTCGAAGCTTGTGTCCGCTTGCTGCGGTAGGAGAGCGTTCATGGAGAACGCTCACCATGAGAAGCACCTTTGAAACGCATCATCCTTGCTATACTAGGAAGCGAGTGATTCAAGCTCGTTTTTGCGTGCATCATTGCTGTAGTACTGACCTTTTACAACGGGGGATACTAAATTGTTCTGACTACTTTCGGTAGTAGGAAGCGCTCACACATTTTAGTAAATCAGGCTTCTGAGTCGATTCAGGAAACCTTTCTAGAAGCCCAGCTTCAAGCTGTAGTTGACGTTTGTTGCTGCCAGAGGAAGCGTAAGACATGGCTTCCGCTTCTTCTCAGGCTGGACTCTTAGCGAAGCAGGGTCTGAGCTTCTTGTACAGCGCCACTGTAACGGGGGTGAACGCGGTGTCGACGGGAATCAGCAAGGCATGTAAGCACTACGCGGATCTGCACGAACGGGAGAAGATCGAATCCATGCGCAAGGCAGGGAAACGTCCAGAAGACGTCATCTTTGCAGGTGCGACATGGGATCTAATCAGCAGATCCATTCAATCAATCCAGTCCATTGACTCAATCTAGCTTAGTCCTTTTAAGCACCACTGGCAGTTTCGCGTTTATGGATTCGTGACTTACGTCTTACGGGGCTCCTAATTTTTCCTCTCTCGCAGCCCTTCAGCGGCTGCTTCACCTGGAAATGGCGGGTTACCACCACGAAGTGGCTGCGGTTTCGCAAAAGATCGCCACAAAGCTGGTATAGTAGTTGTCGAGTTTCCTAGCCTGAAAGCCATTTTCGACGCACGACGCCTCGTATTATAAGCTGTACTCTCTTGTAGCTGACGATGTAAGATGATCTGAAGCTCTCGTAACACGCCCTGTATAATTCGGGTGTATAACTGCTCGTGCGTTTTAGGGAACAGCGGACGATGTTAGCGAAATAAAAGATGTCTTTCTTTGCCTGTTTGTGTGTTCCAGGGCACAGCAGACGACAGGAGCAGCGTGGAGCATCAGACGCTGCAGGCACTCAGCCGGACCCTCGTGGAAGCATGTCGTCAGCATGGCATGGACGTGACGCCATCAGTGAAAGGCGGGAAGCTGGGGTTTCAGGGCCTTGAGGACTTTCTGAACTTGTCGCGAATGGGAACTGACCACTATGATCGCGACAAGCTGGTTACTGACCTGTACTTCGCCTTCCTGTTCGCCCAAGATGTATGTGAACTAAAAAGCTTTCAACACTATTTGCAGGGTAGTATGTGTGTTTCGTTGAACGTGCAAAAGTGCACCTTCATGTTTTTGGCAGGCATCTGTTTCATTCTTTTCCTTCTTAAGTGTCTATCCTGTTTTGCAAAACCACAAGTGATACTTACTTTCTTAATGTTTCTCTCTCCCTTATCGTCCATCAGGTCGCTCAAGGTAACACTCAGCGCATTGAAGCAGCGAATAACGAAGCAGTGGAGAGGCTTATATCAGGACCGTCTCGAGACTGCCTGTCACCCGTATCCCCCCTGAGCCCAGCATCCAGTGGGGGAGAACCTTCGCCTGGCAAAACCGTTGGAGGGTTCTCCTCCGGCTGCGTCCGTGCTGCTTCTGGCAACGACCTCCCTGCTTACGCTCGTCCAGACGCTCTCAAACTGCCCCAGGCCGCCTCGACATCGAAGTCTTTTTTTCCGACCACCACTACCAGCAGCAGCAGCAGCAATGGGGGGAAATGGGGTTCGTCACTTTCTTCTGTTAGCAGGCAGGGAGGGAACAAGCCAGCACCTCTTATGGGCGTTGGAGCAGAAGATGATAAGACGTGAGTGCCCCATGAGCTCTTTCCACCTGACCATTGATATGCATGGATAACAGGCCATTGTTCTGGATGGATTCACTCTTTCTCCGACACATGTCCATGTGTGATTGGCAGGTCGGGTGGGCGGCTGGTGCTCAAGCGGCTGGCATTCTGCATGGCAAGGGCAGCAGCAGAGGCAGAGGCGCGCAGGCAGAGAGGGTTGCTGGACGCACAGGAGGTGCTGAGGAGAGAGCAGGAGAAGGCCAGCCGAGCAGCGGCCATGGCTGGTGGCGGAGCAAGTGGGGTAGCTGGAGGGTAGGGGTATGCCCATGGGTGGGGGAAGGCCGATTCCTGCTGTGCCTGGTGGTGGTGCTCCTGGTGCGTGGGGCTCTGCCTCTGCCTCTTCCCTGAGTGCAGGGGGTGTGGGCGCCCCTCCTGCTGCCAGAGCTGCCGCGGTGTCTAACTGGAAGGGAGGCAGCTGCAGTGCTGTGCCTGGGGATGCTTCGGTTGTGGCGTATGGTGGGGGGATTGGGGGATTTGCTGGAGGAGTGGGTGGGGGGGCAGGCAGTTATGGGGGGTCTGTAGGAAGTGACAAGGTGGCGGGTGCAGGGAAGAGCAGTGGAGGGGGGTGGGGGGGAGCGAAGAGTGGTGGAGGGTGGTGAGATGGGAAGCAGTAAGGGTGGGTGAAAAAGGGAGTGGTGTTGTCAGGGACAACAACGCTAGTACAGGGATCTATAGCACCTTTAGGATGAGGCAATTTGGCATTCTGTGATGACGAAGTGGAATTAGATCTTTACCTAATGATTTCAGAGTATGTCACGTTATGAGCAAGCATTGGATACACTTGACACACTTGAACAGATGCATGACGCTACAATGCTGCTCCCTTAGCAGATACAGTCTAGCCAAATACCATGTACATCACGCTGTTCTTCTGCACTAGTAGCAGTGCAAACGACCTACGGTATTCTTACAAAAGACCCTCGGGATTGTGTTTGGCACCGTAGGCCCAGTCTCTCCAGCACACCCACCCGGTCACGTGTTTGGCTCTACTGCCAGGTGTACCGCTACTAGCCCCCACTCAAGGTTTTCGTGGCAAGGGCTGTAGACGCGGGAGAAATTCGCCTAATCCTGCAACCTACAGCCCCTTCCACATTTATTTTGCTCATTGTTGCGTATCAGGGTAACGGAGTCCCAGAACCCGTTGGTACCGCACTGTGATTGGCCAGATCAGCATATGGCCGACGGAATCCAGCGGCGGAAGACTTGGCCGCGAAGCGCGCCGTTGGGAAACGCCTGCGTGTTGATCTGCACGTAGAAACCCCCCGGATTCGCATCTATCTTCCTAACCAGATCGTAGATCGACGTGCCGTCTTGCATCGGCTTAACGCTCGTTGTCGTGCTGAATCCGCCGCCGCTGATCGCGCCCGTCGCGCTCGACGTGTTAGCTGGTTTGATGACATTCGCTTTCCCGTCAGATGGCGCGCGAGTGAACGCCGAGTCCGGCGGGGTGACCCCGCTGTTGCTTGCGGTGGATCCTCCCCCGCCCCCGCTCCCGTTATTGTCAACAACGCCAAGGCTGATGTATTTGTTGTCGGCATCAGTGATCCACGTGTCGACCTTCAATTCGTTCGGGTCGTCGAGGGTCCAGGGGTTCGGTAGGCGCCAGACGAGCGTGCCGGTGCTGCCGCGTCGGCCGTCGTAGAGCGTCTGGCCGGTCGGCGGCAGCGGCGCGGTGAGCGACTCGATGTCGAAGTGAAGCTTTATGTTGATTTTGCTGCCTTGTCTGCAAAATGTTGAAAAATGTCGCAGAAATCAACGAAACATCGGACGTCAGAGACGGTCGCAAAATTGAGAGGGAAGGGAAAGGAGGAAAGCCACTGCGACGACTCGATATAAACCCGGGAAACCAACTGGAAGACGACTCGATATAAGCCAGGGAAACTCACTGGAAGACGAGGATGCGGAAGTAGCCATACGCGCCGGCGTCGCCGCCTAGGTTCGAGCTGAGCACCTTGTTGGGCTTGAGATTCGCAATCAGCGTGCCTGCGGGGGGGAACAGAGGAAAGATCACGAGCGGTGAGAAGAGGTGAGGGCATATGAAGGTCCACATGAAGGTCCACATGAAGGTCCACATGAGGCCATGCGGAACGATTCGCCGCCGAGGTTCGAGCTGAGCACCTTGCTGGGCTTGAAATTCGCAATCAGCGTGCCTGGGAGGCGACGAAAAGTCTAGTGCAAACAGAGGGGTCAAGAGCGGTGAGGTGAGGGGGTTGAGGTGGGTGAGGCGGTTATTTACACAGGCATATTTTTGATCGCCCGGAAAAAGGGACGTAGGGGTATGGCGGACATGAGGGCACGGAGAACTTATCGCGTGAGACTCATCGACGGTTGGAGAGTTTAGGCAGCCACACGGGAAGGAGGTGGAACGAGAATGACTGGCAGACGGTTTGAGGCTATGCAGCGAGTAGGTACACACGAGACAGGCAACTAGAGGGCGATCGAACGACAATGGTGGCCCACAAGAGGCTTGCGACAAGGGGCGTGCGACTGGCGGGCGAAGCTCACATCTTGGAACCCCAGGGAAGGGGACTGCTTGCGCGTCTGCCGTTATCGAGGATACTAGTACGAGCACGGCTGACAGTAGCACCGCGGTCACCATGGCGGGCGGCGTTTGCGCCATCACGAAGAAGATTCGAGATAAGCGAGGTGAAATGGGACGCAAAACCACGCGGGGTTGCGGAGAGCTCGGAGCTACGCTATGCGGAGTGGAAGCTGGGCGATATGTTTGTACGTGCGGAAGGTAAGAAACAGAACAAGTCTAACGATTTTAGCACACGGTCGTCTGAAGAGGTCTTTGTCTAAAGTGTTATTCAATGGCAACTGTGCTTCAGGTGTAGTTTACTACGACCACCGACGTTTTTTTCCTGGTGACGTATGCACCCCTGCCAACGAGTCTGCCGACGAAGCTAGGAAGAAGCGGCTCTGCACTGATAGGGAGTTGACCGACACGGCGATAATGGGATGACAACTGCAGGTGGGGCAAGACAAGGATGAATGTGGACCGTTATGGAGAGGAGTGGATGTCGAGAGAAAAAACCACGTCAGGTACAAGCAAGGAAAGTGAAGTCTAGTGCAGGAGGAGCGAGCGAGGGGCGGTGTGTGGTTTGAAGCCTTGAGGACATTCGAAATGTCGGAGTGGGTAGGGGAGGAGGAATTTCTTTGAGCCAAGGCGCGGAAATTCGCCCTCCATCAAGTCGCACTTCCGAGTCGCCCCATAAATTTCGAGCACGACGGGGCTCACTCACGCCCCGGAGCTTCGATCTGCCGTCGATAAACTCGTTCGTTATTACACGATAACAGTGTACCATCCACGATTCACGGGGGAACGAGGAAGCCCCCCGCAAAAAGCGCATGTCTGTAGCAACACTTCGATAACGCACTTTGAGGTAATGCGATATTCGAATGCAATATCTAATTCATACAAAATAGTGAAACTCAACCAGTCAGAGGTCCAGAATACCAAGTGTAATGAAATGTGGTCAGTTCTACTTACTCTGCGTTGTCATACCTTCCGCTTACAACACTGCCTCCCATATTTCTAATATCCGTCGCATCAACCCTCTTGGTTGCTTGCTCATCAAATACTGGTACTCGCTCGCTCCACCTCACCCTTGCCACACGCATGCCTCTGGCTGGTGCTCAGCACAGTGCTGTTGCTTGTGTGCTCTATACCAAGCATACCCAGATTATCGACTTATACTGCCCACAGTGCATTTACATATACACATCACATCACACCATGCTAACCTATCTCTCTGATGTTTGATGGCACCATAACATTGTCCATGCACTGGATGCAGGGGAGTCGACACACGCGGTTGCAGTTTGTTTGGGCATAGGATGCGATCACGTGTGAAATCCTCACGTGAACCACATGCCCATACCTCCCCCAACAATGCTTGCTCCAGGCCTGGGTCTCGTCATCAGACAAGTATGCAGCATGCTCCTCATGTGTGCATCCCATTCCAAGCCATGCCTTTGCTGGGCTGGGTGAGTAGCACTTCAGAACTTCAACCTCTGGAGTTGAGACAACACATGTCATGATGTTTACCGACAGTTCCAATGTGTACTGAAGTACCTACCTACTCACTACCTTTGATGAGCATGAAATCGTGCTGTTACATATCAGCCACCTTCTGTTGTTTGAATCCCAACGGAGTTTCTGATAACCAGTGTAGTCAATCATTCTACTAGCAAGAGTCTCTACATACGAGCATCGCCGTAATGTGATGAGCCCTCCCCCATGACAAGGAATCCTAAAGCACAGCCATTGAGTCTACATGGCATGCACTGTCCACACAAAGGCGCCAAGTACGGAAGGAAACATCACATCCGCGCTGCCTCTAGCCCTAAGTATAACCTGCACTCGTATAACCTGCACTCGTATAACCTGCCGCGAGAGTCTCACAAGCGGGCAGTTCCCGTATACGCATCATCAAGCGGACCCTCTCCCGTGTTCTCTTTCGCGAGCGGGCAGCTTTGGTGCTGTTTCCCCTCTATTTGCGTTACGCGGGCAGCTTGGTACCCACGGGGAACTGCGGGTTGTCAACTCCATGCGCGACGAAGTACGGCCCGACGTACATCTCGGCATCCATCACCGTGCTCCACGTCGCCTTCGCCAGCCCCTGCTGCCCCAGCACCACGCTCGGACCAGCCTTCGACATTTTCACGAGGCTCACTCCGTTGAGCTGCGTCGGCAGCAGCTGGCCCTTCTTAACCGCCTGCAGCTGCGGCAGCGTGAGGCGCGTCGCGACGATCTGCACGGCCGTGAGGTTGTAGGCCACGTCGTTGGAGAGCTTCTTGCCCTTGAAGCGCAGCGCCAGGCTGTCCGCAACCGCGTCGCTCATCAGCAGAATCGTGGCGCTCTGCAGCGCCGTCAGGTTGTACTTGGAGTTCACTGGATCGGGGATGGGGAGGGGGAGTAGGGAAAGGGGGGAAAATCCACACGGTCAGGGAAGGAAGGATGCTCGAAAAAAAGCCCAGGCGAATCTACTTTCTAAAAACTAAAGGATTTTGAGACTTTAACTTGGGTGGCATTTTCTGACGAGACTCACGGGCGACGTTGATGCCCTTGTTGACTTGCGTCGAGTACTTGGCGTATTTGGGATACTTGGCCGTGATAGCCGCCGACAGCTTCTTCAGCTCGGCGCGCAGCTGCGCCTTCGTCGGGGGCGGCGCTGGCTTGGGCGCTGCTCCGCCCGCTGCTGGGGGAACGGACGCCCCCTTCGCGGACGGGGCTGGTACTGTTGCGGGCGAGGGGGTTACCGCGCTGACGGATGACGCGGCGCAGATGACGGCGGCCAACGCGGCTAAAACAAAGGCGATGGCGACTGAACGAGCCATGGCTCCTATTAAATGGCGTCGAGTCTAGCAGTGGATACTTTATGGGTGGCTGCCTAGAAAGGCGGACGGATGGAGAGCGATCGCTCTCGAGGTGGTGTGTTCTCAGTCGCGGTTCTACGACGTCGAATCGAAGTTGTCAGTCGACACGGTCGAACTTGTTTGAAATGAGAAGAATGAGTTGCTGAAGAGGAATGTGTATTTGGCTGGTTAGCGAATAATTTCACGGAGCTCAATTTATGTGGCATAAGATGGGATGCCAAAGACGGTCCCAGCAACTCTTATCGTTTCGTCGGTGGTCTGTTTAGTCGAATCGAAACATTTCGGCGAGGCCCCGATTCGACGGAACAACCTTGCCACCGAAGGAGCGTCCAAGTAGCCGTTTTAGCACGACTCGGCGGTGCATCACGACGATTCACCTGTAAGCTCTGCGCTTGGCTTCGCATCTACATTGCCGACGGTTCCTTCCTTTCAGAATTCTCGTGACTGCTGTGGTGGCAAATTCGGCTGCGGGGGATTTACGGGGAGGAGGAGGGGGAGGTGGGGAGAAGCGGAAGTGTCGGTTTCCAAATTTCCGCGCGCCTCCTTATTTTTTCTGGCGGTGCATTGATTCGCGCGGGGCTTTCGGTGTCCACCAGACCAGCTGCGTCCACTTTGCCTGGATCCGCGTGGGGTGGGGGGGAAGGGGTGGGGTGGGGAAAATGGGAAAGTCGAGACGGGGAAGAACAGACGAGGGGAGTCCAGCTGTGTTCTTGACGCGCCTTGTAATTTGAAAGCGAGGCGTCCGCGGTGCGTGGAGAATTACGAGACCTGGGACATGCGGCTCGACGGCTCCTGGAAGCTGTGTCTTCCATATGGATATTTTGATAAACATCGTAATGTTGCAAGTTGAATGCTGTTACGAGTGCAATTGAGTGAGCGAGCGAGAATTGCACTATCGAAGCAAAAGTACAACGAGCGAAAGCATGAGCGAAGAATATATAGCGAAACTACAGTGGTAACGGTTATGCGTGGAAAATGGGGTGCGCGACGGGCCTGGCGCCGAGGTTGGGAATTGTCGAGGCGGAGGTCCGGAGCGCGGGTTACCAACCGAACCGTGAGGTTGGGTCGCGTCGTGAACAGTGGCGGGAATAGTGTCGATGCGAGTGTCGCGAGTGGTAACGGATTACTGTTGGGTGCTGTTGGCGGGAACAGTGGTGTACGCGCTGGGCAGGGACGCGAAGTAAGGAAAAGGAATTTTCCTTACACTACCCCCCTCCCCAAGGAGGCCCCTCCTACGAGAGTGCGTGTACATCGCGGAAATTTCGGCTTCGCAGGTACTCCGTGAGGACAGGGTGATTCTCAATTCTATCCAGGGGGACCCAGTTGTCTTCGGTGGGCGTGCGGTCCTTCCATCGTATCAGGAATTCGATGCGGCGAGCTCCCTGTGGGTCACGTACTCGATGGCTTAGTATTTTCTCAGGCGTGATGATCGGTTCAGTCGGTGGTCGGGTCATACTGGCGGGGCGGTTGCGGGGCAGTTGGCTGGTGGATGGCACGTATGGGCGGAGCAGGCTGACGTGGAATGACGGGCTGACGTACCAGTCAGCAGGGAGGAGGAGATGGGCGGTGACGGGTGTGATCATGTGGCTGATGTGAAACGGCCCGCAATATCGGGGGCGGAGTTTTGGGGTAATGGGCAGGCGGAGGTTTTGAGTGTCGAGTAGTACGAGGTCGTCTGGCTGGTAAGTGACTGGTCGGCGGTGGCGGTCGGCGTTGCGTTTAGCGATGACGTTAGCCTTTTTAATTGCGTCCGCTGCCCTGGTCCGTGCTGCTTGCAAAATTTCGGTGAACTGTTGCGCGCGTGGAACCGGATTGTCGGGATTCGGGGTCATGGGTACTGTTGGGTCTTGTCCGTAGTTCAGGTAAAACGGTGACTGTTGGGTCGTGGCGGATGGTGAGTTGTTGTATGCGAATTCGATGAGTGGCAGTTGATGTTCCCACGTGTTTGGGTCAGTCGCACGTGGCCCGGATGAGCTGTTCCATGGTCGGATTTGTCCGTTCTGTTTGTCCGTCGGTTTCGGGGTGGTATGATGAACTGAACTGTAGTCGCGTGCCGAACTGCTGCCATAGGTTCCGCCAGAAGTTGCTGGTAAATTTCGTGTCTCGGTCGCTGATAATCGATGCTGGTATCCCGTGCAGTCGAACGACGGTGGCGATGAAGAGGCGGGCTGTTTCTTCGGCTGTGATTGATTTTTTGCAGGCTGCGAAGTGTGCCAT